ATTAATTACGAATTTTGATTGGTCAGGAATACAATTCCTTAATGGGCATTTAAATTCGTAAATAATATTTGCCCTAATTAATTATATTAAATTTAAGAACATTCGGACAGTTTTTATATAATTTATCACCTGAAAAGAAAAACATTATTAGATCGCATGAGAAAATGTATAAAAAACTAAATAAAAGTACCTTCTCTCTCTCTCTCTCTCTCTCTCTCTCGCTATATATATATATATATATATATATATATATATATATATATATATATATATATATAACAGACCAACTTTATCGATAAAACCTTTCTTAATCAGAAAAAGTCCTTTTGAAGGTCGAAACAGGTAACGTGGAAGACTTCCATGGTTTTTCTACATTTATCCATCGTCGATCTGATATAGATATATGCATATCATAACTTCTAAAGGGTTCTCTGTTGATTCTTGTTTGTTATAGACACAAAATTTGAGTCGTTATACTCTCCGGCCTTTTCATTTGCCGGTCGTATACGAAAATCATGTGGGAATTTTATACATAACACGTTATTCCGATTACCCGGATAGTGATTTCACATTCCATTTCTCCATATTAAGATGGATAACTTGAATAAATTGAATCTTTATGCTAATGATTCAATGAAATATGGGTGCACCTCCAAAATTCTTGATGACCGCTTGAATTAAGTATTGTATGATAATTATAATTCCTCATCTCAGAAATATTATGACTATAACAATCAAGATGAGGATAACAGATTGAATAAATCAGTGTATAATAATGATAATCCCTCATCTCAGAAATAGCCGAAACGTTGTGACTATAACAACCAAGATGAGGATAACAGATTGAATAAATCAATGTGTAATAATCGTAATCATAAAGATAATAATAATAATAATAATAATAATAATAATCCCTCGTTTCAGAAATGATGGTGGCAACAGCAAAAAAGACGGCGTGAAAGAGAACCAAATAAACTGTTTTGCAATTTATCCAACCCCCAATTGTAACTTAGTGATGGTGGATTCAAAAATTCGTTTGTTTTTTGTCTTATCATTTTTTTTGTCCAAATTGACGACAAGTGATGCAACGCTGCTTTGAAGTTGGCGCCATTTGTTAAGTGATTTTTTATTCATTTTTTTCTTATTGTTTCTTTACAATTTCTTCTAAGACTGACAAGTGCAAAGGTCACACACACACGGAGATGGGCTCCAGGTTAATGGCCAATGGACTTCAAATGCTTCATAAATGGTCAGAGAGAGAGAGAAAAAAAGTCAGAGAGATGAAAAGACATAGAGAGAGATAGATAGAAGGGAAGTGAGAGAGACAGTTGGAAAAAGCGAGAGAATGAGAGGGAGATAGAAGGAGAGAGAGAGAGAAGAGTCTGTCATATAACGGATACTTCCTCCATCATTACAATCTTAACCTGTTCAAGTCTATGTTTAATCGTTATCTTTCCCAAATTTCCTCATAAACTTCCCTCTTACCATTTGCCGCTCTAACAAGAACCTCTTCAGTAACTCTCTACCTGGAGTTGCTCTTGGGCCTTGTATAGGATGAACACTCGTAATATATAACAACTTAAGGTACACATTACGAGAAAAATACCACATATCCACCGGTATTTCATCTTATAAAACGCATGAAGATAATAACATATGCATAATACAACATCCCTTCCCGAATATGGACGGGGGTGGGGGAATGATCAAAATGTCAGGGAAGTTTCATGTGATTTATACTAAACTGATTACTTGCTAACTAATCAACTAAAGGAAAATTTGAAAGATCAGCGCGTTCTCCATCATGTTACTCACATTTGAGTTGCATTCTATTCACACTGGCTGTGCTTCGTCTCTAATATTATTCGGCCTGTCCCGCCTTTCGTTAGCTAGTTCGCAAGACCGTTACGCCTTGCCTCATAGATAAAGGACTACTCCGTTTTGACAACGTGAAGACACGGAACTGATGTATCAGAGACTTTCTTCCTTTCAATGAGAAAATGAAAGAAAGAAAGAAAGAAAGAAAGAAAAAGGAAGGAAGGGAAATAGATGTGTTTTAAAACAAGATTTTATATTTCAAATATCTTCCGTTGTCCACCCTTGTAAATAAGTTTATTAATAAAAGCATTAGGAAGACAGAATTTCGGCTAGTTAATAACAATAATAAAAATATTTTACGTTTTCCTTTTGTTCGTTCCTTAGCTCATATGTTAGTCCTTGTAATACATCATAATTAATAGACCATTCTGTTTGTGGAAGGAAGGAAAAGAGACATCAAAGATGCAACTTGATTTGAGTGAAAAAAAAAACGAAAGAAAGAAAAAAGAGAAAGAAAGGAACGCCCTGTCAATAAGTCATCGACAATGGACTGTTGCGTTTTGATCGAGAGGAATGAAGGAAAAGACATATCAGAGACGCTGTTTGATTTCAGTGAGAAAAAGAATGAAAACCCTGACAATACCTCATAAATAATGAACTGTTCCGTTGTGAATGCAGTGAA